ATCAAAAGCTCTCCACTTCCATTCGTGAGATCCAGCTCAACGAACAACACCTTCCCGTACTCTGCCCCCCTCTTCCTCCTCTCCCTCTTCTCTCTGGCTTGAATTCCCCCACCTCAACCCACAGCGACAGATCTATGTTTATCGCCCACGCGTTCACAAGCAACATCGCGCCTTCCTTCACGTGGAGGGCCTCGATGGTGCAGTCTTCATTGGATCGTGTGCGGGGATGAGCGCTGCTACGGAGTGAAGACGGACAGCCTCTTTGATAACGTGTTGAGTATGCAGAGACCGGTCCACCTGCTGTGTTTAACACTTTCCTCTTCATTGGATCGTTCTTCTCGTATGTCTTACGAGAGAGAAAAAATAGAAATTTGTCGAATCACATAAATCTGTGTGTCCTTTTTTTGTGTGAATTTTCTAGTTCCAATTATTACGCTTTCTCGCAACCGTTTTTCATAATACGACGGAGCAGGGTAAGGAATATTGGGGAAGTGGGTTTCATTTATCAGTCGGTGAGTGATGATATGGCGGTCAAGCTCTGCGCTGGTTTTTGAGAGGGCAGTTGGGATGCAGAGAAGAAGAACGAGGGCCCATTCGATTGTTAGGGCAGACGTGTCCGAGAACCTGCAAAAACATTTTGGAATTTAGATTTACATATATATACCGCACTATTTTTGAATTGATGGGTGTGCATGTAAATGCTCCTAATTCTTCTAAATAAAAACTTGATATATAATCAATAGAAAATGAGTTAGAAGATTTTGACATATAATTTGATTTATTTACTATTTTTCATAAAAGAGTTATCGGAATATTATGTTACAATTTATAATTGAAATAAAAAAATATATAAATTTAAATTATTCGATAAATAATTAACACTTAAATGCTTGTAAATATGGGTGTATATGAGTCGAACACTAGTGAGCCCGAGCTCAGCTCATCTTCTGCTCGTTAAAAAATGTCATTGTTCGTTTTCGGCTAGTTTATATTTCAAACACAAAATAATTATTTGTGCCCTGTTCGTTGTTCTCAAACAAAGAGCCATTTTAACAACCATACTCACGCAGCTGTTAGGGGTCTATATAAGCTGAGCCTGAGCGAGGCCGGACTTGGCTCATTAAAAAAATATCATTATTCGTGTTAAGCATGTTTATATATGAGCTCAAAAAAAATATTCGTGCTTGACTCGTTTGCTTATTGAACCGAACACGAGCTGCTTACGAACAATGAGCTATTTTGACAACCCCAATCACATTGTTGTAGAATATTAAGCGTAGGGGGAGATTTAAATCTAGTTATTTATATTAAAATAGTCTTAAATAGAATTTGATATATTTATATTCTATTTTTAATTAGTAATTTTAATTAGTTATAAATCTTTGTAGCCTTCTAGTCAATAAATTGGGGACAATTACATATATATACCACCCAAAACTTGCTTTTTACAAATCAACCTTCCTCTTTCATCCATCTTTTAAATTCTCAATTAAATATCAAAGTTCATGATAAAAGCCCAACCCATATTTTTTATTTGGGAAAATTACATACATAACACCCAATTCTTAGCCATTATGAAAGTTTAGGTGT